GGGAACGATTAGAAAGCGAGTAGAGAACGCAGAACGAACGCAGCTTAAGGCTGTTTTTACCTTACCTTAAAAAGAATAACAAATGATAGACTTATAATGTTCGACCATTATGTATAAGACAGTATAAATGCAACAAGTACAGGTAGATTAGTGTTAAATAGACCACTTAATACTAAGGCTGCTTTAATTTTGCACTACTCAAGTCACGTTTATTTATCCCTGTAATGCCAAATGTATCATATTTGATTCATACTGTTTCTGAAATGTTTTGCGTCTGACACCTTTTGCATAATTTAATAGTAAAAACTTTGCTCATCAGATACACCTGATAACAGGGGGCAGAAGACTACACACAAAATAATCTTGACTTATCGCATAGTAATAAATGATTAATAATAAAAATGTATTTCTGTTTTTTCTTTTTACATATTTTGTTAACTCATTGACTGCCAGGCATTTTCAGAACAGAGTCCCATACTGCCAGAGTTTTTTGAGCATTTTGACTGATTTTTCAAGAGCCACAGAATAGTTTGTGCTATGACAATGTAAACACCGAACACACCAAAAGAAAGAGTAGACTCTCTTCTTTCATCAGGAAAAAAATTTGTTTCTACCTTATTCCGTTCTTCCTGGACTTGTGTCTCACCGGCGACATGTTCTCTCATAGCGAACCGTTACGTTTTTCTTATTTGCCTACAGTCTATGGTCAATTTGTTACTACATACTCTGTCTAGAAGCCGATATTTACGAAAAAGCTTTAGCAGATCGTCCCCCAGCCACTCTCGTTGAAAAACATAAAAGACGTCTATAGACGTCTTTGGCAGCCAATGAGTTAATATAAAAAATTTATTTATGTTTTTTCTTTTTACATGTTTTGTTAAAAGGCCAAATAAGGAATTCAACCAAAAAAAAAGTAATTTTCTGCTTTGTTTTCCTCTTGGATCAGGCTTTAAAGGGTTAATAAGCCTTGTGTGTGTGTGTTTTTTCCGGTGCTCTTTAGGTGGATGTGAGACCACAGCATGACTTCGGTCCAGACGGGACTGTGGGAGCCCCGACCCCCGTCTAAACATGCCTCGCTGCCCTCTGCTGCCTCCCATGTGACCACAGCCCTCCCCGCCAAGAGGATCACCTTCTACAAGAGCGGAGACCAGCAGTTCGGGGGCGTCAGGATGGCCGTCCACAAGCGCAGCTTCAAATGCTTCGACGCCCTGCTGGACGACCTTTCCCAAAAGGTTAGCTTAGCGCCCCTTTGAAGCTCTGAGGCTTTGCCTGGAGAATAGAGATCCCTACCGATCCTGATCCCGGCCTATCAGAGCATGTGTTAAAGTTTAAAGTTATTCATTTACTTACTTACTTACAGCCGTCCCGATCCCTCCAGATCATCCAGTCTAGGGATGTTACAAGCTTCCTGCAGCCTGCAAAGGAAGTCTGGATTTTCTTTTAGCATCAATAAACATCGATTGACTCCACAAAGACTAGGGATGTCCCTATCAGAGCATTTATTAAAGTTTAACGTTATTTATCTACTTACTTAGTGGTCAGACTCATGTTGAACAGGGATTTAATCTGAAAACTAGCCACCTGAGGTAGAAATATGATAGATAGATAGATAGATAGATAGATAGATAGATAGATAGATAGAT